CCAACAGGTGATTCAGGCTCAATCGCTTTTTCAGATGTTATTGTCAACTGGGTGGCTGTCTGGCTAGGGAATACCGTTGCTGGGGTCATTTTTACTGGATTCGTTTGGTGGTTCTGTCTTGCCAACACTCGGAATTTCGAAAATGATGAGTATCCAGATGACAAAAAATTTGCCAACATCTCTAGGCGTTCCTTTGAGATGCCTTAGTGAATCAAGTGTGGAGCCCGCCAGTCTTGTAGTGTAATCTCTGTAACTTTTTTCAACAGTTGTTATTTCTGGCTGCTCTCTCATGTTTTACCAGCCAACTATCTTTTTTTCAACTGCTGTCTGGTCAACTTTTCGTTTTGTGCTCTCTTGTGTTTGATATTTATTTCTTTTATCAGTAACCCCAAAAAAGAGTCCTGCACGATGCGGGACTCCTATTGGATTCCAAAGCGTCGCTTCTTGCTGGCCAATCAAATATAATGATTTGAAGCATGACATCAGGCACAACCAATTAACATGTTAAGAGTTTAAATGTTGTGAATGCGAAGATGTGCACAAAGAACAGCATCACCATCCATAAAAGCATTAATATTTGAAGCAACAATGCGTTTTAATCTTTTTTGGCACGAGAAGGTGCTGAACGTCGCGACGATGTAGGAACGGTCGCTGGAGTGAGAAAACCTTTGACAATGAATCCGAGTATGAAGCTCAATCCAACGATCAAAGCTCCTGCGAACTTGGCTTGAAGAAGAATCAAAGAAAAATCAGACTTGAGGAACTCAAGTTGCTCATAGAAGAAATCAGCGGCACTAGGGAGGGGTGGCACCGGAACGCCTACGAAGAAAGGGATAAGCATGACGAGGACAAAAGGGATAAGCATGACGAGGACAAAAGGGATAAGCATGACGAGGACAAAAGGGATAAGCATGACGAGGACAAAAGGGATAAGCATGACGAGGACAAAAGGGATAAGCATGACGAGGACAAAAGGGATAAGCATGACGAGGACAAAAGGGATAAGCATGACGAGGACAAAAGGGATAAGCATGACGAGGACAAAAGGCTTACCATCTTGCGCTTCGAATCCACCCAATGCAAATGCCTTCAACGACTCAAGATCTCGCTCCCCGCTGTATTTATACATTTTGCCTTTGCTGAGCACAACGAGGGTTGGATATCCTTGAACCTCAAACCGCTTTGAGACCTCCTTATGGATTGTCGCATCAACCGTAGCGATATTGACTTGCTTGTCTAGTTCCACAGCAAGTTCGTTCCATGTAGGATGAAGCTGAGATGCAATAGTGTAATTCAGAAGAGCAGAGAACGACACACCTGCTTGCAAAAGCCGCACCATGGCGCGAAGAACATCACAAACCAATCCCCGGTGGTTGATCCGGTGGACGCCTGAGTATCATGCTCGAAGTTCGAATCAGTCAAGACATGAGGAAGAACTTCTTTGCCTGCCACGGCAGCAAGGGTCAGAAGACTGAGCGCGAAACAAGCAACGAGTCTCATTTTTGTGATTTCTGGACTGGGATCCACTCCAGAGCCGAATTGGGACAGTGAAACAGGTACGATTTCTGCTCCGTCTTCAATGGCTTGTATATCATAAGAATTCTTAACAACGACATCTACTCGATAGATATTCATGTCCAAGATCTTCAATGAAATTGTTCATCTGTTGAGGCCTGACTCCGATGCAGAATCTGATGTCTCAGGAAGCCCTCGGGGAAAAACAACTGGTCGCGTCATTCAGAAGTGGACAGGATTCGGTGATATAACGACTCGTCAACCGTTCTTTACTTCAACTCTTGAAGATGAAAGACAAGCTTGGATGGGAGAGGGATACAGACGTTTTGAGTCCCATAAAGGTTCCTACGATGACAGGCGACAGGGTAAGATGATATCCCAAAGATTTGAATGATATGATCATCAGGATTGGCTACATGGGAGGAAGTAAAAGAGACGGTCGTTGGAGATCTTCAATATCTATTTGGATGGCTTGCTCCGCCATTTGCACAACCAGCGAAAGTCATTCCAGACGAACCAGTCCGCAGTTCCCCTCAAATGACGTCCAAGCAGTTCGAGGCGCTTAAAAGTCCATGGAACGTTGTTGGTCATGTATTTGAACCCTTGCCTTATAAAGCAGCGGAACACAAGAGACCTGTAGGTTTAATGATCATGGCAGCGCATCCTGAATGAGTTTGCTCAGCGACGACTTGGAGGATCTTGGATCGAAGAAGAAGAAGAAGAGAGAGACCCCCCAAAAAGAAACCTCCAGAATGAGAAACCTATCCATCTGATGGAACGCCAATCTGAAAAACCCAAAATTTTGGAAGAGAATTCGGAAAAGCGAATCCATCCAGGGTTGATGTTGGCACAGTCGAAACCACCAAAAACCGTAGATGGTGGTGGACTGTCAACTCCCTCTAGAGCCGTTGAGAAAGAACCGTCTGGTTATCAATCAGAGGATGAGAGAGAAAGTCGGATATTGAGTCCGTATCTATCAGTTGCTCCACCGGATTCAGAGCAAATAGAATCAAGTTTGCCAGCTGGGAATGAATCAGGACCCTCGCCAAGTATTTCTTACCCATCGACACCAAAATCGAGTGATGAAGGAGTGGGTCATCAAGAAAATCGCTCGGAAGAAATAGCGTCATCGTTTGAAGCCCGGAGTGGAACGATTGAAGGTATTAGAACATCTCCACCCCGCCGTCCGCGTCAGTCCCAGTCCCAATTCACTAGCGTCAATCTATCTCACGTGGCAAGTGCAAAAAAAGCAGCCCCAAAGCAAAGTGCACCACGTAGGGGACTTGTCCACACCATCGGAAATGGCAATGGATCTCATTAAACGGATCCGAACAACAGATCCAAAGACAATGAACAAAGTAGAACTGGTTTTTAATACAAAGATGGAAGGTGTTATGGAGAAGAAGGGACCTCTGACACTCTTTTATAAAACTAGGCAAGAAATTTTGAGTCTCTACGGACCAGATTGTGCCGTTCGTTGCAGACGCGTTATAATCCATGAGTTTGAATTGAGGGATACGTCGGTAGGTTCACTGAATTTCATTGTCACAACAAACACTCGGGCTTCAGGTTCAGTACGACCCGAAGGACACACCCAAAAGCTTGGATCTGTTCAACAAATCTTGGGTTGTGCAAATTTCAGGTGATAAAGATTTCCAGTGAGTCCTACGACACGAATTGCTAAAGTTGATGCTTTTTGTTGAAAGGCTGAAAGGGGAGGGATCTAGCACGTATTCCTTCCGCATCATTCCCGGCTCTCAATACACAAGAGACGAGTGGACGACGCACTTGATGAAAGCATTGGAGGCTGCTGCCTTGTTGCGATCAAAGAAGCGCCTGGTGGCTTAACTGTTTTTTCGTGGACCTGCACTACCGATTTTGGAATATGCGCGTCACACCAATTGCAAGCCAGAATCTGGCGCTTGTACCTCTTGAACCTTGGATGACACCGCAGTATGCTTTGTGGTCGCAAGATGAAGAGTTAATCACTTTGACTGGTATGTAGAAATAGAAACATTTTTGAGGCTTGTTTTAATCCATCAGCATCTGAACCGATGAATTTAGAGGAAATCAACGAAATGCAGCAAAAAGTGGTGGAACGATGATGACAGTAAGAATTTCAGAGAAGACAATTATTTGGTCACATATATCGTAGAATTTGTCTTTATTATGGTTGATATGGACCAAAGACAGGACGTCAGAGAGGCATTCACTAGAACCGATAAACCACTCTCCATCGAATGGGATCCTACTTTGGGATACGCCGGTATGACGGACAAAGAGAGTGCAGCTAATCTGAATCTTCTGTTAGGTCTGATTGGAGATATCGGACTGTTTTACAAGGACAATCATGTCATGGGAGAGTGGTCGTTGATGGTTGCAGACAAGCGCGCTCGTCGAAAAGGTTTCGCCAGACGAGCAATCGGTAATTGAGCGAGTTGTTGTTTGAGGAGATTTCATTGTTTTAGACCTTGTCACGAAATACAGTCAACAACATTTTGGTACAATAGAATTTGAGGCAAAGATAAAACTGGAGTAAGTTCACGTTTGTGCGGGTGAAACATTTCTGTCGTCAGCAACGGCTGCTTCGATAGCAATGTTTGAAAGCCTTGGATACACGAAGGAGTCAATAAGCGACGTTTTTCAAGAAGTCACATACCGCATGACACTGTCATAAATTTTATCTGGTGGTAACCCTAATTTTTTTTGTGTATTGTTGCTCTTTTTTCATAATTGTCAGCCCTAGAGCCTTCAAAAATTGCTGATAGCTCTTTCGAACTTTCAGACAGGAATTGGAGTAGTTTTCAACTAGCAATAATGGCACATCCGCAAGGCGTCACGTGTAGCCACACTGCCCCTCCCGCAAGGATGAACAGAACTGACGTGGAACAGGTACTCCTCCAATCCTCACGCTGGATCGATTTCGCATGCAATTTTCAAAACGGTGTATTTCAGCAAAAGTGTTGTTCTTGGTTCTTAAATTTCAGTGCGTCACACTCGTTTTTTTGTGCTGCTGGATTGGCGACAGATCTCCATCAAATTCTCAACATTCCAGGTCCACAGGCAAACATGTATTCTTTTGGGAAACAAACATCACACTTGCCTTTTCAGAACTGCCTGGATTGTTTCCACTGTTTCGGCAAAGTCATACTACGCCGTTACAGGTTCACGCGCGCTCGTAATGTCGCCAACAGATGACAGTTCGTCAAACGGTCCCAGAGAGTCCGTCCCGTCGGTCCGGCCGTGTAAGTAACAATAAACCGTCAGACTGCGAGACATCTATGCTTGTAGGGAGATAAGGCTCATCGCGTCTACGTTGGAAATCTCGCGTGGAGAGTCGGTTGGCAAGACTTGAAAGACCACATGCGAAGCGCTGGAGGAAATGTTATCAGAGCTGATGTATTTCAAGACGCAAGTGGACGATCTCGCGTAAGCCTGAAGTTGTTAAACCAGTAGTTATTAGAACTCGTAGTTGTTAAGGTCGTCGTATGATTGGTTTATCTTTAGGGCTGTGGTGTTGTCGAATTTGAAACTGCCGAGCAAGCGCAAGAAGCAATTGAGAAATTAACAGATACAGAATTACAAGATCGAAAGATTTTTGTCCGTGAGGATCGAGAAGAAGGAACTCGCTCAACAAGCTATGGGGGACGCAATGAGTACGGAGGAGGAAGTTACCGTGGATCCTATCGTGGTGGATATCGCGGTAGTTATGGCGGTGGCGGAGGAGGAGGAGAAAGAGGAGGGTATGGTCGGGGACGTAACGATTACTCTAACAGTTACCCACGTGCCCGGACTCTCTCTGAAGGAAGCAAGGACTGCCAAGTCTTCGTGGGCAATCTAGCGTGGAAGACCTCATGGCAAGACTTAAAGGATTTATTCCGTGACGCTGGAGACGTTGTGCGTGCTGATATTTATCAGCGTGATGGCATGTCACGAGGATGTGGGACTGTTCTGTTCTCAAATCCCGATGAGGCTCGAGCTGCTGTTGGTATGTTACTCTCGCATGGATCTGGTTGTTCAATGATGTTTCTTTTTTTCAGAGAAGTTTCATGATTGTGAATTGGGTGGTCGCCAAATCACTGTTCGTCTTGATCAAGGACCCCCCTGGACGAAATTACTAAAAATCGCTGTTCCTCATCTTCGGTCGTTTCCCCATCAGGTTCCATTGTTTAGTGACCCTGTCCCAATGTGTTCTTTTGTGGTTGTGGTGGTCTTGTAAACGTTAGTTGAACAGTCATCCAGTTGGCACAGCATGAAAAGGAGTAAAGCAGAAAAGGGACTCAAAACAGACAAACTGGTTAAGGAACTCTTGCCAGGCTCAGTCTGACATTCCAGTTTTTCTGGCCTTAATGGAGGAAGCTCCATCCACCGCAACAATGAGTGGCTCAAATTTGGAGGTGGACGGGGGACCTGATGCAGTAATGACAACGAATGGTAGGATCTTGTTTGCGGGGGCGAGTGAACGGGTTGGCACTCTCTTTCTTTTATAGAAACTCCCTACATCACAGACCCTGTGGACCCTTGCATTGAGATGAATGCAGCCGAAGGAGCGAACCAACCCTTAGATAAATTGACAGCTCTGGAAATGCTCCAGCTATTGAAAGAGTATAAGGCACGTTAATTGATTATTTGAAGGATTAATTGTTCTTTTGTTCACAGAAGAGGGAGCTACTCTATGTATTTCAAATCTCAACACTCCAGAAGGAATTGCATTTAGTCAGAAATACCGTCACACCATCGCCATCAGCATTGGTCTATCACACATCTCAAACAGCTTTGTTGGATCCAGCAATAAATTTGGAGGTCCGTGAATTAAGGCTTCGATTATCAGAAAAAGAAACAGAGTTACAAAAAGCGAAGGATGAGTTAAAGACGTCTACATTTTCAGCAGATAGGTAAATGAACGTGTACCCTACGAGAGTTGACATGTTCCCAAAACTTTGGCAAGCTAGCGGTTTCTCACTCACATTATCATCATTTTCGCTTCAGTGTTATGGGAAGAAGGTTAATAAATAAATGTAAGGCCTTACAAGAAGAAAACACAGACATTGGAAAAATGTTATTAGAAAATCAGCTTCAGCCCCTTCAATTACAAATTGGAATTTTACAAAAACAACTTGCATTTTTCAAAAGGCAATTAGTGTAAGTTGACTCTTCATCTTCCCTCATTCTAATTTTCTCTCATTCTAATTTTCTCTCATTTTAATTTTCTCTCATTTTAATTTTCTCTCATTTTAATTTTTAGTGTACTGCATCAATTAAATGCAGATCTTGATCGCGATAATCAACATCTTGTCAGACAACTGCATGAAATAACGACTCTATACAAGGTGCGTCCACAAGAAACATGGTTGGCCATAGCAATGCTCATCAATGGACGAACCAAGTTGTGTTGAGAGTGTGAATCTTGTAGGAAACCCAACAGGAGCGCGACCAGCTGCAGGGAAAACTTCAACGCCAATGGGAATCCTCTAAACATCGCGATGGGGATGGCGGATACACAGCGAGAAGTTCAAGTCGCGGAAGAGACCGCAGCAGTTCACGTCACAGAAGAAGCCCAAGGAAACGTTCCTCAGATCGGATTGATGATCATGGAATGAGCGGGACTGGAGGCCATTCCAGAAGTGCTAGTCAAACACACCGAAGCAGCAGACGACAATCTCCATCATCACGAAGGCGAGATGGCGGGGAGCGATCGTCACGGCGACGGTCTCCAGATGGCCATTCGAGGCGGAGCCGAAGTTCACGAGGCGCATCAAGACGTCGGCGTAATGAATCTCCATCCCATCAGCATTGAGACGTGTGTCCCAGATTGAGTTTTACAAAATGTCAAATTAACACAAAAACTGGAGGAGACAAACCCTGGAGTAAACTAAATGAAATACTTTTCTGCGGTCTTCATGGTTCTGTTCAATTTGTTTGCTTTTGATCCAACACGCAAATCGAACCTCTGAATTCTATCCATTTGAGCTTGACTTTGTTGTTGATGGTGTCTACGAGAGAGTCGAGAAAGGCGTTCTTTTTCTAAAGCAGATTCTCCGTTCTGAAAAAAACAAACAAAATAAATGTTTTGTCTTCCCAATTCCCCAATTCCGTTCTTTTACTTCTGTGAGTGCTTTCAACTGTTTGGCATGCAACAGAGCTAATCGGACGGGATCATTACGTTTCTTCCCGATTCTCTGTTTATAGACGTAAGCGATAGATCTGTGAGCCGCCCTGAAAGAATACCATCAGAGACATGATGACACTCAAGACATTCAATATTCAAGACATGATGATATTCAAGACATGATGATATTCAAGACATGATGATATTCAAGACATGATGGTATTCAAGACATGATGATATTCAAGACATGATGGTATTCAAGACATGATGATATTCAAGACATGATGATATTCAAGACATGATGATATTCAAGACATGATATTCAAGACGTGATGATATTCAAGACGTGATGATATTCAAGACGTGATGATATTCAAGACATGATGATATTCAAAACATGATGATATTCAAGAGCTATCAAATAGACATAAACTAAGAACTTACTCTCCTCTCCCAGGCAACACTAGATTTCCATAATCATTGATTCTCGCCGGTTCGAGCCCACTACAACATAAAATAGAGATTCACTCAGTATCTGCTTCTCAATTCTCTCTCACTGTCTCCCAATCAAATCTGCAAGCTCTTCGTCTTCCTCATCCTCATCATCATCATCCCAAGTGTCTTCATCGTCGACTGCTTCATTTCCCATCAATGCTGCAACAGTTTTTTTCTTCAAATGCGCAAAATTGATCTAAACGAAGAAGATATTCAATTTCAGGATATTGCGAGTCCCAAATACCTCTTTGTACGATTCAGAGAAATCATAAAAAGCCTCAAGTTCTAATTCTTGCTCTTCTGTGCTTGTCCCGATTGAAGTGTGACCTTTCGCCACCATGTGGTTCCTCACAGCAAAGAAACTTTTGAATAAGCGATTGCAATACAAACACTGATGTCCCTCGTACAACTTGTCACCAAGATATCTGAAAGGAGAATGGATTATCCATCATGCAAGCTTGGCAGAAGATGGCAAGAGTGACAAAGCATCCCTACTGTATCAAGCCTTCTTTATCCTTGAGATATTCCTTATCGGGAATAAAGAAGGAAAACCTTTTTGCCATGTAGAGAATATTTCTGAAAAAAGAGTCGCGCAAGATAAAGTTAAACAATTCGAATACAAATGTGGACAATCTTACTGGTCGATAGATTCTCCTACATGATTATCGAATAGACTGTTACATGTTGATGGATATCTCACTGGATCTTCTGCAACTTTAGCACTGGATGCTTCAACGTCTCCAGATGCTTCATCAGACTTATTCTCAGACGCTCCTAGATTTTTTGACGCTTTGGACGACTCTGCGGGACGAGATTCCCTGACGGACTGAGTGACAAAACATGAGTGACAACATGATCAGAGAAATCAAACTTGCCTCTAGTTTGCGCTCAAAGATTTCCAGGGTGACTTCAGGCAAACCAGCAACTTTGCGCTTGAGATTGTATCGATGCCAATCTGTCTTGTGATGCGTTTTGAGTTCCGAAGTCGGCAACAAGATTTGACACGTCGTGCACTAAGAGTAGGAGAGAGTGAGCGAGTCGACGACATGAAACGTATTCCCACCTTTGAAGTCGGATGACTCATCTTCGATCACAAGGTTAACCTGGTCGACAGAAATCAACAGGAGCAATGGAGAAGCTTGAATCCGGAAACGCAGTACTCCAAACGATCCATTCTTCTGAAGGAGGAAGGGCGTTAAAATTGTTACAACAGAGACAGAAAAGACATCAAGAATTAGAGAAAACAAAAGAAGAGATTGAGAGTGAGACGAAGAAACGTCGATTGCATAAAATTGATGAAAAATATCAAGGATCAACAACAGGTCAGAAGATCGCGTTGATGTTCCATTGTGGGTGTCGTAATGTTGTTTTTATTCAGAGGCGTTGGAGGAGTCTTTCCGTCAACAAACCGTTGGACTCGTTTCAGCAGACGCATTTAGAGAAGCACGAAGAAAATTAGAAGAACTAAGACATCAACAGGAGAAGGCGATAGAAGAGAAGTATGAATAATATAGAGAGAGTCATCTAATATCCTTTGTAGAGTAATATCTTTGTAGAGTCATTTAATGTCGAGTCATTTGATTATGTCTTGTGTTATTGTAGAGAATCAGATATTCCAACTCGGCTGAAAAAACAAAAAGCTGCAACCAGTAAATTATCGTTTCAAGTTGAAGATGAAGAAGAGGAAGAGGAAGCTGTTGGTAATGAAGTTAAAAATGAAGATTCAAAAAGTGAAAGTGAAAATCTAGAAGGCGACGATTCTAGTAAGTGAAACACATTTGTGTGGGATGATTCTCTAATCATTGGCGTTTATCTTTTTGTCTTTATGGTTCCAATTTATCTGTTTAATTCTCTCGTATGATCTCTTGTTCATGCAATTGTCTGTCTTGTTTATGTCTTGTTTGTCTATTCCTTACAATTCAGGTCTATCGTCAAGTTGTGCTTTGCCAAAGAAGAAGTACTTTGGGAAGGATCCAACTGTGAACACCTCTTTTTTGGCAGATGTTGAAAGAGATGAAAAGATAAGACAAGAGAAAGAAAAACTAATTAAGAATTACTATGAAGAATTAGAGAAAGAGAAACGTGAGTAGACGATGATGGATCAAGGAATCGTGCTCTGTATCTTTTTGTCTTCAGACGATATGCTTGAGGTTACTTACTCATATTGGGATGGGAATGGACATCGGCGCTCTATCCACATCGAAAAAGGAAAGACAATTGGACAATTTATTACTGAATGTCGGAAGACCCTTGAAAAAGATTTTCCAGAATTAAAATCTGTATCTAATGAAAATTTGCTTTATGTTAAAGAAGATCTAATTCTTCCTCATGTGAGTAGAAATGACGCGGACTGTTTGTTTGAAGCCATTAGGGAAATCATCAGCTCATTAAAAAACTCATACCGATGCTTTATTTCTACAGCATGTGACATTTCACGATTTGATAAGAAGTAGAGCGCGTGGAAAATCTGGACCGCTTTTTAATTTCGATGTTCATGAGGATGTTCGAATGCGGACTGATGTTCGAATAGAAAAGGATGAAGTGAGTTGAGATGCGCGATATAGACGCTGAGTGATTTTTGTTATGTAGTCTCATGCTGGAAAGATTGTTGATCGGAAATGGTATGAGAAGAACAAGCACATATTTCCTGCATCAAGATGGGAAGCAGTAAGTTGCACAATGCCATCAATGGTAATTGTTTTTTTTACAGTACGATCCAAACAAGACGTTCGAGAAATACACGATTAAAGGAGACAGAGACTTCAGTCAAAAATTGTCGCGCTGAAGATCAAGCTGCCACTTTGAATGCTATGGCATCACGTTCTGTATTGCTTCCACCAATGAATTGCGAATCCAGCCTAATGGGGTTGAGAGTGGCGGCGATGCGGTTTGTAGAGTTTAACTTTCTGTTGGAAGTTTGCAGCGGAGATTCATATTTCTTCACTACAGCGATTAATTCACGAATCATCGGATTGCTAATTTTCGTCCATTCAACCAAATTTTGTTGCAATACTACAAAACAAAAAGTAGATTTTCAGAACGATTTGAATAGAAACTTTACCTTGACGAACTTCATTGACAACTTCATGATCGGATTCATTCGAATTCAATTCACTGAATATGTTTTGGCGGTCACCATCCAGGAGAGTTGCTATAAGGGATTCCACTTTGGGGGGGATGTTTTCGTGTGTACTTTCCATCTGATTCTTTCTATAACCAAAAAGACCGTGGGTCTCCTCTTGTTGTCTGCGATTGGCTGTCCATGAAGAGGGGAAGGAGCAATCCGGAAACTGTAGTCGACACCTTTCTCCAATTGTGTTGGATGTTGATAGGTCAGAGGATGAATCTAATTTTGAAGTTAAATCAGCAGCAGATGACGAAAATGATCGAGTGAGAGGAGAATCGCCGCTTAATCCTAAACAAGAAATTGGTAACGCCCCGATAAGAAAAATGTTTAGAAGATCGAGTCGGTTGATGATTCGAAGTTGTTCTGCTTCTTTCTTGTGATGTGCGATTCTTTAGATGTCGCGAAATTTTGTAAAATATCCTTGAAGCACTTGGTCCGATCCAACTCACTTGGATTTGACTCTTTAGAAAAAGAAATGACTTCGATAGAAGATGCGAATGTGACATCCTTAGATCAAAAAATTCAGAGAGCAAAAGAAATTTACTCGTTGCAAAAAAGACGCAAATTTAAATTTCCATTCCGGAACGCGTTCAGAATTCCCAGTCAAGTTGTCCTGGCAATCAGAATGTGCTCCACCGCGTTGTCAAGAATTGCTGAGGCGTTAGACGAGCCATCTATTCCTCAAGAATACGGTCGGATATGCAGATTGAAATTGCTCCAGTATCTTCTATCTCTTCCTGAAGCAAGGCGCACTCGCACAATTCAAGATCTCGATCTGTGCATGTCATTGCTCGACTTGCCTTGCCTCAGATCTGTTGTATTGGACATTTTATCTTCAAATTGTTCTGTTGAAGAAGCTGTGCTCAAAGAGTGTTGACCTTTCATGTTTCTCCGATGGTGGAAGACAATCAATCAAATGATTTATCGAGAGTGAGACGTTTCTCAGGAGAATCTTATTGGAACTTTTATCAAAGAATGCACCAACTTGTTATTGGCTCTAGCTTATCAGTTCCCGCGAAAACGAAAAGAAAAATGGCGAAAGTGGCTCGTGATGCGATCCCATTTCGACATCTGAAATCTCAATTGAAGATTTACATTCAGAACCCAGATCTATGGAAAGATTCTCCCACAGACCCAAACGGATCCCATAGTTACACAGAAGGAGAAGCATTGGTATTGCACGTTCTGGTAACCGCTGACTATCTCGTCAGACACAAAAAAGGCACCGACACTAGTGACTCAAGCCGAACAGACGAAGAGAGTGTTTCTGATTCAAAAAAGTCGCCGCCGCAAGCACCGATACGAACGAAAGAGAGAGAAGAGGCACAGAAGACGCAATTCTGGTGGAAAACGCCATTCATCACGACCACGGAATCCATCTCAACACGGAACCAGCCCTACGAGAATTCCAGAAGGTAAGTGGCTGGCAACATGCCATAGCACACTGTTACAAAGTACATCAACAGTAATCAAGTGCTCATGGTTGTGATGTAGGTCAATCACAAGCACCAATCGAAACTTTTATTCCCCCGCCGCCTCTAGAAAGCATGCGAGCGGAAGCCCCTGCATTCCAGCCATTGTTCAATTGAAGATGAGTGTGTTGAGTTCTATTCTGATGAACTCGTTCAGAATTTCTTTCACAAACAGTTCTGGACCTATCTGTTTGCCTTTTTTAAATTGATGGCTGCCGTAGGGGCTGAACCAACAGCAGCGACATCGCGCATCATTGTGAAAAACATCCCTCAGTATTACGCAGAGGACAAGCTTCGTGAATTTGTCCAAAACAGGGTTGGCGCTCGCGTGACGGATGTTCGGATTCCGAAAGACAAGAACGGAACTTCCCGGAAGTTCGCGTTTGTTGGATTTGTTGATGCGAAAAATGCGAGTAGTGCAATAAAAACTCTCCAGAATACTTTTTTGGACACTTGCAAGCTCAACGTGTCCCATGCATTCGCCCCTGGTTCTTCATCCATACCCCGCCCCTGGAGTCGTCATGCTGAGGGGAGTTCGGCGTTTATTCGCAGTAGAGAGAAGTCAGAACAAAACAAGGAAACAAGAAAGGAAAAAAAAGAGGGAAAAAAAGCTGCTACGAGGAGCCGCGAGGTGGCAGAGGATCCCCAGAAATTAGAGTTTCTTCTCGTTGCTTCAAAAAGGCGAGGGATGGCAACGTGGAAGGACGACTTTCAGCCTGCTGCAAAGAAAATCAAGTCAATTGTAATAGAGGAAGTGAAGCCAACGAAGGCGGGCGTGTCGAGTAGTAGGCAGCACGTTGAGTTTGCTGATAGCGAAGACGATGAGAATGACGACGAAGTTGAGGAAGACGTGTTGAAGGAGGAAGAAATTTCTAGTGGAGCAACATCTGTATTAGATGGATTGATGCGTGAAGATGAAGAGAGCAGCGGAACAGAAGATATTGCGAGTCCTACCCAACAGGAAAGTTCTGCTGTGAAGGATGACGATCCACTTGCATGGCTGAAAGAACAATCAGCATCGAAACCAAATGAAGATGTTGAAATGTCTAGCGTTGAAAAACCAAGTGATGAAGCGTCAATGGAGACTCTAGGTGATGTAGGAAGATTGATGCTCTTGAATTTGCCATATTCGATGACGAAGGATGAATTAAAAGAGTGCTTGAGTTCTTATGGAGAACTGTCAGAGATCCATCTTTGCCGTGATGAGGTTTGTTGCAGTTTGATCCTTTGACGTCAAGGCCTTTTGTTTGCAGGACGGTTTGCAGAACAAAGGAAGGGCATTCGTGACTTTTACTTTCCCAGAGCATGCAGTGAAAGCTTTGCCCAAGATCCATCATTCAATTATTCAAGGAAGAGTCGTCCGCGCGTTTCCTGCGCAGCCCAAAAAAGAACCACTTGTTGTAGAAAAAGTTGCCGGTGGGAAGAAGAAGGCGTCAAGCTCATACAAGCGCCAGCTGGAAGAAAAGCTGAAGCAGGTGAGTCTGTTGAGAACTTCTTCTGAATGGTGTCACCTGTTGTGATTCACAGAGGGCTGAAGATGTCAAAACTTGGAATCTACTTTACGTCTCAGCGAATGCAGCAACTGATGCAATTGCTGAACAAATGGGATTAGAGAAGCGAGACATTCTTGGTGCTGGATTAGACAGCGCTTTGGATGATCGGAATGATAGCGTTGCTGCTAGAGTAGCGCTGGGCGAAACTCAGTTGATACAGCAAACGAAGCAGTGGCTGAAAAAAGAAGGAATTAATATTTCTGCATTTGAAAGAAAAGGTAACTGGATAGAAGTGCTTTCTTTCCATAGTTACTCCTTGCATTAGGTGTAGGACTCTTGCAGGAGCAACCAGTTGGGAAAACAACAGAGCGCTCCACTGACACCATTATCTTAAAGCATTTACCCGCCGGAACGAAGTAAACAGTTGGGGCTTCTCTGATCCTTTCACTCGCTGCCTCCTTTGCAGAGATAAAGAGATCTTTGAACTCTTTTCAAAGTCTGGACCGCTAGGCGAGTACAGGGTTTCATTCAACGAAGATTGATTTGTCATTGCGTTGCAGTTCGCTATTGCTTAGCGCCATCTGGAACCGTGGCCGTTGTGCAGTTCATGGAAGCCGATCATGCTAGAAGTGCCTTCAAAAGAACAGCATATTCGCGTTTCAAGTGAGAAATATATCGGGAGAAATGAACGCGAGAACAAATTTCTATCTCAGAAATGTTCCACTTTTTGTGGAGTGGGCCCCACTCGACATCTTCAACTCACCAAAGCCGACTACTGCAGTCTCTCTTGCAGCTCAATCTAACGTTGTAGACAAAGAAGAAGAGAGTGAAAAATTGAAGCGTCTGTTAGATGAGGAAGACGCTCGAAAAATTAAACACGTCTCCCTCTTCATCAAGAATCTCAGTTTTGAAACCACTGAAGAGCAACTTGCCGAAGCATTCAGCGAAGCCAAAGGGTTTGTTCGGGTACGTCAGCTCTAAATGGACCTTATTTTCACGAATTCCTAAAATCGTGCTCTACAGGCAACTATTGCTAAGAAGAAGTCGGTTAATGCTGCAGGCGGCTCTGTTTCTCTGTCCATGGGGTGAGAAAAAGAAGTTCCATATTTCTGGTAGTTTCATGTTTCGCAGCTATGGTTTCGTTGAGTTGAATTCTCCAAAGGCAGCAAGTGATGCTCTGAAGCGCTTCCAAGGGGTACGAGTAACGCGTACTCCCAGTATTCCGCATTTTGCTTTCAGATGGCTCTCAATGGGCGCTCCATGGATCTTCGAATCTCAGAACGGTCCTCCGCACCAGCGGAACCTTCTACAGACTCTTCACCCCTCCATAATATTGATTTGTCTAAAGTCACCAACAAGCTCACTGTCAGGAATTTGTCATTCCAGGCCTCCAAGACGGATCTGAGGCGCCTCTTTACCGTGAGGGTTTCGGTTGGCATTCTGTATTAGCAGTCTTCTCCTTCAGGCGTTCGGAAATGTCACTGCTATTCGCATACCAACGAAAGCAGACGGTAGAAGTCGTGGGTATGGATTTATTGAAATGATGTCACGTTCTGAAGCTTTGACGGCCCTAGTAAGTCATGAGAGGGACTCCCAGGTGTCACGATAACTGTTTCTGCTTCTTAGGAGGCACTTCAGCACACCCATCTCTATGGGCGTAAGATGGTAAGGTGGGATACAGGTACCTTCCCATCAATCCTCCTTTGCAGATCATCGAGCCCGCGGAGGAAACAAGTACTTCCGTGGCAGCAGTGCGATCCAAACAGGTGAGTACTTGTTGAGGAAAGTGACCGGGGCGGAGAACTTCTCTGTTTGTTGGTAGAAATTCATCGAAACGAAGCCAAAGCAACCAAAAGTGGAGGACAGTCTCGCTAGCACAGAAAATGTATGACACTACGTGATTTCTTCCTAATGAACTCTTATTGGCCACTACGAAATCAACAAAGCATCAACACTTATGGTTGGAACAAAAAAAAAGAAAAAATGAATATCTTCGGACACCCAGACACTTAAACGAACACCGCGGGCACCTTGGCCCAAATAAAACTCAACAAGCGAGGTCGGTCTAAGTGGCAGATTGTTGGCTTTCAGAAGCAGTTTCGTTGTTAACACTTTGATGCGATGCCATAGTGGGCGTATTGGAGGAGTCATGGAAGGATGCCATTTTCAACCATCTGAAGCATCCAATCACTTTCGTCACTCTGAGCGCTTATCTCACCTTTCCCTCGTTGGAGAGGGAGTGCAACCAGTAAACCATGCATGAGTGACGAGATCTTCCAATGTGGCTCGATGGCGCGGATCAGGTCTCAGCGCAGCCTAAAAGACCATCCCTTGGATGTTGTTTCCAAATGAAACTTACACGAAGGATTTCCTTGAGATCGGAAGGCCACGAGCGACACTCCCGGAACAAGTCGAAATTCAAACCACTCTTAACCAAATGATTGTACCTGAAAACCAGTTTTATTGCAAATAGAGGACAGTTAAATTACTTACTTCTCATCCTGTTTCACGTCGGAGCATTTCCATATACCTCCCTCCGACCACAGCCAGAACAGCAACACTCCAGCCATATACACATCAGCACTGTCAACGCGGAAGTAATACGCGGTACGATCGGTCGGTTTGATCAGCGACCACAATTCTTCCAATGGATATTGAACCCTCGTGTCCTGACGAAAAACTTAGGAGCTCGATACCCAGTGACAGGCTCTCCCACCTCAAGTCTCCAATAGACTTTCCAGCACTCGGGGGGCATGTAAGCTCCCTTTCCCACCGTTGGTTCACAGGACTCAAAAGGAAAAGGAGGACACCCATACGTTCCATCGACCTGTTGCAGGGATTAAAGAAGAGGATTGCGGATTCCACATCACCTTTACGTGGCGGAGATTGGTGCTCCATACGGGAGTGGCCTTCGCGAAATCACACATCCTCAGTCCGGATCTTCCATATAACACATTCTCTGGCGTGAAATCTAAATGAGCCAATCCAAGATGGTGGAGGCGTTTCAGCAGAAAGATGCAATCGAGCTGAAGCGATTTTTTCTCCGATTCAGTTAGCTGGGGAAGCCAAAAAAAAGATTACTTAACGATTTTTAGAAAATTTCGGGTTATCCTACCGGGATCTTTTCCTTTTCTCTCCGTTCAAGAAAGTCCAGAAGATCTTCTCCGTAGAGCTCGCTGACAATGACGACGTGTGTCACTTCTGTCGTTGGTTCGCCCTTAGCACATTCGCGTGGAGCTTCACCACCCTGCGTTTGAAGCGTTCGACGTCGCTGCATCTTGTTGTTTTTTGAGACGGGGCCTGAGAGTTCTAACACTCCGAGTAGACGCGGTGCGAGATCGGGGACCATACTCTATGAAAAAGAGAAACTGCGTGTTCGCGGTTCAAACATGAGTAATTCCTACGCTGAAGGAACGCCAGCGTCGCCGCTTCCATGACGAAATTCTCGCCGTCCGTAACATATTCTCCGGTCCATTTATTCTGACTTTCCCACTGTTTCCGCCACACCGAGATCGGAATAGACTTGACGAATACCCGAAGTCTTTTGGATGTTGGAGTAGCGGGTGGAATAGTGACCTTATACATCTCCTGCAGAAAGAGTAGAGGGGGAGTTGAGTGTCCATCTTTTGATCTACCTGCACTCTGCAACTTGTCGGGGAGGCTCCTAGTGTGGGAATTTTGTTTAGTTCCCATAATGGGAAAGGGACCCCATTCAGCGAAAATGTTTCGGCTGGTTGCATCTGAAGCTTGATAAGAGCACGCGCGACAATCCATGAAAACCGAACGGGTTTTGGGGCTCCGGATACCGAAGTCCGAATAGAAGAGTCATGAGAGGTTTTGCTGCTGTTTGGAAACTTCTACGAGACAAGAGATACATGTCGAGCACTGAATGGCAAGAACCGCACCTGAAGTTGTCTGGGCAGCTTCTCCGTTTCGTAGTGTCTTGATCCAACGAAGGGAGGACTGACAGCTCCCGGGGGTCTTCGCCTCGTAATCGGCGGGCAACGCGGCTGGAGTTTCTCCTACAGGCGAGAAGCTCGAAGCTTTTCCCGCTGGGGATGAAGCGATTGGATCAGACGAAGCTGCAACTGGAGTTGTGGAATTCATGGGAGTGTGATACGATTGACCATCTGGAGATCCCGCACCCTTCAAGGACCTTCGATCCGCTGAAGAACAGAAAGTAATGTTTTCATGGATCGCAGACTGCGGACACACACCTGGAGAAGGGGAATCCTGAGTTGCCGCGAGAACTGCAGAGAGATTGAGTCGCGGTGGCTTAAAGCGGGAAGTTGGAGAATCGTTCATCTGGATAAAGACAACAATTTCTCTGACGGACTTCAGACCATCAGACTATCTGCTACATGAATATTGTTGTTCTGACTGACTTGAGGGATGTGAGATTTATGAGACTCTCTTCCGCCCTATGGAAACAGCAGCAGTGATGTGCAACGCTCAATACCGTGAATTGTCACCTCTACGGCATCTTCGACCTTTTTGTACCGGGCGTCACTCTGCGGTGTTGCCGCCTCGGACGTCGACTTGAAACTGGTGGAACTCTCCTGACTTCGAAGCTGAGTTGTTTCAGCGGGCTTTTGCGATCTCTGCTTAAGGAAAAGGGAAATACTCGTATCGAGGTTCTAAGACTCACAATGGGAGGCCTGGGACTCTCAGGTGGTCGGGCTGAAGGAAACTCATCACGAGGAGTGAGTGAAGGTGAGACCTTCTGCTGCTTGACGGAATGAAGAGAAGGGCGAACACAATTTCCCACCTTTGGTCTTCTCGTTTCCGGCGCCACTTCGACATCACTGTTAAGGGTTAGTGCGTGTACAACTGTAGTCTCAGTCTCACCGTTTTTGTGTCCCATTCGGAACTTCCCCAGGGACCCCCGCGACCCGCCTCTATTGCGGTTAGGCCTTGTGAGAAGCGAATGACTCACGATGAAACAGACGAAAAACTCACAGATCTTTGGAAGGAAAATCGAACGGACGTTGCAGGATGACGGGCAGTCATTGGCCTACCATATTCTTGCCTTTTTTGAATTGATGGTGAAGTCCTAGCACTCATTGGTGCACCTTGTGGTCCAACTCGGATTGGAGCAGCGGACTGGTGCGGATAGCGGGGTGACACCGAGCCGCCGTTGTGGGGAGGAATCATGTTTGGGGTTGTTTCTGAGGGGCGATGCTGTTGATGGCCACGGGGCGTGCGACCAGGAAGATTAGAGCTGCAGAAATCAAAGACTGAGTGCAGGAAAGAATGACGGAAAGCTCACTTCATGTTTTTGCTGGGAAGTTGGATGAATTCCAGAAGAGCGTTGATAAAACACGTACTGCGCTGAGCTCGAGTTGTTCACTAAAGGGTTCTGGGCAGGCTTAACGCATGGGGGTTTGTATTGTTCGAGGAGAGACCAAAGGATGACAGGAGTATGTGGTTGTCACTGAGGAAACGTAGAGGGTAATTTGTCGGGGTCTGCTGCTGAAACGTTCGAGATTGGTAAATTGCGGAGTTGTTTACTGCGGAACGTGCTGTGTTGGGGTGGGTGACGAGGAGTCCAAATCGTACCATCTGAGTAAACCTGTGAGGCTGGTGAAACGGAATGGATGGGTTGAAATGGTCCGTTCGAATTGAGGGGTCGTGGTTCCTGGTAGCGGACTCATCCGATGTACGTCTTCAGGTGGACGAACTGCTGCGGTAGTATGAATCGCGCTGTTCTGTAGACCAACGTTTTCACGAGGACTGCGTGCTTGGCTCAGTGCCTCCTCGCGGTTCTTTATAGATGACAGTCGGGGCAAGCGGGGACGATCCGGGCACGTACCGATGAACCATATATGGCGGACGGGAGAAGGAACGACGCACGAGGGACTGAAGATGCGGTGGGACAACACTGTGTTCGACCGTGTGGTGTGGTATGCAGGAATGGCGACACGAGGGACCAAATTGACTGAAAGACTGCTCTTGGGAAGTGGCAGAAAATCCGCAAAAAACCTGATTAGACTGTGGTGAAAGTGTGTCGGACGGACACAGTACGGGAGTCGTAAGAAGATTGGGGGGTGGTTCTGTTGTAGGGATGGAACGCATAGGGTGAGGTTAAT